CAAGGGAATATGCCACGGCTTTGTCTCTCCCGGATAGTACAATTTAGGTGAGTAGCACAATCAGCCTTAGACGTTCTTGTGCTCCCTTCCTCCGTAGATGTATCTATTATAACAAAGTTCTTTTACCTCTAAATATGAGAATGTGCGTCGAAGGCCATTCAGATGTTCAATTCAAGGTAGAATGTCTCGATCAGGAGCCGAGCGAAGGGAAAAAGGACCAGTCCATTGTTGCGCCATATCCAAAATAGGGCAAGCGTATTATTAGATGCTGTATTAGATGTATAGGTTTTTTGTAGAAGCTTTATCATGTATCGATACAAGATAAGCTTAGGGTATTTAGAACTACCTAGGAAACTCTCAATTGTGATCCTTGAGGAGGGTATCTCAAACTCCGTCAAACAACCTTGGTCGGGAATATGCTCTCTGCATCGGGCATGCCACCACGAAACTGCCAAGCCAGCAAAGCTTGGATGTATGTCTCATAGCTACCAACTCATCGAAAAACACCCTCCAGTCCGTGTTCATCCAGTGATCGGTCATCGCTATCTCGGGAAAATCCTCGCCTGGTGACAAATTTATCGCTATTCCTTGGAAGGGACGGCGGGCTTGGTCTCGGTGGCGGGGACGGTATCGTCGGGGATAGTCCCCGCAGTGGCCGCCGGGACTTCAGCAGCAGTGGCAGTCTCAGCGGCAGCAGCAGGAGCGGCATTCTCCGCGCGAAGCTTCGCACGGGCGATGGTCTCGGCTAATGAGAGTTTAGCAAGTGCCCATAGCTCTGAGCGAGACACAGTCGTTTGCAAGTCGAGCGCCCCAGGGGTTGCAAGACAGTCATCGTGTGGGATCATGGTAGGGCAACCCGACTAACCTTCATCAATCGCCCCTGCCAAGTGGGTTGGCAGCATACCGTCATCCTCAGCCGGAGCGGCAGGAGCGGCGGGAGCGGCGGGAGTAGTGGCGGGCGCAGCTAGAACCTTGAGTTAGCATCACCAGGACCTGTGCTGACCGTGTTGCGCGCCAGATCTCCAAGTTTACAACCTGGATTTTACTGGTCCTACATTGCACTTACCAACAGGGGCATCGGTCTTGGCTGCATCGGTCTTGGTTGCCGCAGTGGAATCGCCCTCCTTAGGCTTTTTGTCCTTTTTGCGGAAGGCGGCCTTCAACTTCGCCTTGAGGTTCGAGAGTGCGTTCGGCGCTACACAGAACCGCAAGTTAGTTCTTATTTGTCGTACAACTTCCAAGTACTAGTGCAATGAATGGAAGAAAGCTCGCCATCTCTAGTCGAACGAGGTAGGTCGAGGAGAGAACAGCGTGGCCGCCCCGGCGACGATCATGAATACGACTGTCAAAACCGTTCTTGACTTGTCATCGGCGACTAGGACGAGAGATTGAGAATAAGATGGAGGAAAGGGGAGCTTTACGAATGCCACCCATTGTGTCAGTTGCTACGAATACTTCTGGAAGGGTTCGCGAGTGTGAGGCGTTCGGCAAGGAATGCGTTGCGGATGAAGAAGAGAGCGAAATAGGTAGGAAATGTTGAAGAAGTTGTCGTTTCTAGGTCAAGAGCATGAGATGTGTGGTGATGAAGCTCGAGGAGTAGAAGTGTGGGACCTGGGGAAATGATATCGACAGAAGGTGGATACGCGCTATCTACGGGAGTAGTTAGAAAGAGCTAGCAAACCCTGGCTAATCTCTGAAGATGGGGCATTTTAGCCCGCAGAAGCACATATGCAAGACGCTCGGGCCCTTCTTTCCAGTTCTAGACAGCCAAGCCAGCTTCAGGGAAACCAAAAAAAGGAGAGAGAAAAAGGGAGCACCAAACACAAACGACAAACAGTGACCCTGGAAGACTATTCCCGAAATTGAGCCACCATTTTAGTAGAAGAACCCAAAGGAAGTAAAAGGCCACGCACGTGAGTACTTACTTATGGTCCAAGTATCTGCACATAATGAACGTCCCGGCCCGGACTTCCAACATGAGCAGCTCTCATCATCCAGGTAATGTAGGTACTGACTGTCCCAACTTTGCTCACCTATTGGCTACCTATCGCTAGGTAGGTAATTGTGAGTACCTAAAACGTTTTACGACCTACCTAATCTAATTACTGAAAATCGTTGGGTAGTTGCTGTACGTTATCGGCCAATCAGTCCTCGAGTTCGTATGACGGCGTGAAGCCAAAATCGCCGGGCGGATAAGCAGTACAGCATTTACCACCCGAGGCGTATCACGCGTATAAATTAGATTCATTTGCTCTCACTCACCGCTCCGCTATCTTAGTACTGGTGCTTGTCTTGTTACCATCACACGTAGCCATGGCGCATATTTATCATAAACTGTGCTCAGGACAAGTGTTTCGAGTTGAGCTATGCGCATCAGGGTCGTTGTTCTAGATAGCATTCCTTACATCGGTTGAAACTCGACGATCCGGACACGCCAGCATCGCCGCTGCCGGGAAGGAACACGGCGTGAAAGCTTAGACTCAACAAGAGCGTTGTTCTGGTGTTCTATAACTACAGTAGGTGTACCTAAATCGCCCAATCAATATCGGGAACTCTTGTCGAACACGAAAAGGGCAAGTATTCAGTCGTCGCTTCGGCCCACCCCGCAGATAATCACGATCGATCACGCTTTCAACGAGCCATCAAGATCTGTCGTACAGCCTCTATGCTTTGAGCCACGTGTCGGCCGCTGCTCGTCGCATCCAATAAAGTCCCGATGAACTTACCTAGCGTACAGCTTATGTATGATGTGACATAAACAAGCCCCGGCTAGGAAAGGGCAGACTCTGCCGGCGGAGTAACCCAATCAGGCTTCCCGTGACACTTCGTCGACGCAAGCCTCCGGGTCCGGACCATGGCGACCGAAATCGGGTGGATCGGGACAGAAGAGTCAGACCTGGACTAACAGAATTTATAGTGGCTGGACTTAGTCACCCCGACGAATTTCGGGGGAGGAGCTACGGCCGCGCGGGCATCTATGAGTATCTATAATGGGGTCGGGGTTTTTTTCAGATGTAAGGGTCCCGGGTTCGGTAAGACGTACTCATCACCGTGAATGACAGTATTCGCTGCATCGAAGTAATTTCTTGCGACGGTGCACGAGGGCGGTGCTCCCCTTTCGTCGCAGGTCCAGATGACCTGACATAGGTAGATGACCAACTAACTTAGCTCCTCTCAAGGTCTCCACAGTTTGGCATGGAATTATACATCCAAGCAAGCGTCTTCGCTGCTCGTCGATTCTGCAAGGTTTGCTTGCTGAGTATTTAAATTTTTAAGCAGCGTCGTTTCCTATTTTTTCCTCTTCTTTTTCTTCCTCCGGCCGGGTTGATCAAAGGAATCAACGTACCATTCGTTTTAGCGCCGCATTAGCTCGCTTCTTCGACAATTAACAAGTAGATCATCTTGAATTCAAGTCCAGTTCCAATCGGTCGAAAATCAACCTTTATTTGTTCATCAAACAGTCGCACAAGACAAATCAGCATGGCGCCAGTCATCCATTTTGGTCCGTCACGCACAGGGCTACCACAACCTTAGCGCTGAGAGTCAATGGATACGAGACCCGGATCTGACCGACCTGGGTAAGAAGCAATGCGAAGAGCTCAACGAGCAATTCCCTTACCACGACAAGATCACCCACTTAGTTGCCTCGCCGATTCGCCGGACGATTTTCACGTGTCAGCTTTCCTTTACACAAGGCGTGAAAGCAGGAAAGAAGATTGTTGCTCTCCAAGACGCACAGGAAGTGTCCCTCTTCCCCTGCGATGTTGGTAGCGACGTCGACCAGCTGAAGAAGGAGTTCGGCGAGCTCGTCGACTTCCACCTGCTCACGGATGACTGGAACAAGAAGACGCCCGATTCCAAGTATTACCCAGAGTCCCATAAGCTCGAGGCCAGAGCCCGCAGCACGAGGCTGTTTCTTCGAGATCTGGTTAAGGACGCCGGCGACGACGCACACGTGGTCCTGGTCACCCACGGGGGCATCCTGCACTTTATCACCGAAGATTGGTCGGGCATAAGTCCCGGACGCGGTACGTTAAATGCTCAGAGGAGCAGAAAAGGGGAATGAAACGCATCCCCTTCACCGAACCCCCCGGCGGTTTCACCCGTTTTAATGACAGCTGACATGTCGTTTATTAATCGCAGGAACTGGCTGGGCGAACACCGAGTACCGATCCTATCAATTCGTAGATGAGACGGGCCGGGACCCCAACGCGAGCATAGAAGAACTCCCGGAGAGCCGACGTCGCAGGCAGGGATCCGAGATCCCACTCACCGACGCGGAGAAGAGGGAGATGCGCGCCGCGTACAACACGGTGCTGGACCAAGAGCTCAAGGACTGCATTGAGAAAATCGCGCGGCAGCAGACAACAGCCACTGCGAATGGCATTAATGGCATTAATGGGATCTGAGATTAGAAAGGTCCTTCTCGGGAGCTAAACAATAGAGATAGATATTGGAACGTTGGTCCAGACGTTTAGAGGCGTTTTGCATGCTATTTGTATTTAGGTGTACATAAAGGCTCTAGAGACGGAGGTTTGAAGGCTCGTGATTTCTTACATGTTTAAAATTTGGCCAGTCAAGTGAGTGAACCTCTAGGAGAAACCATACTCCTTCTACATTCTGTCGTACGTGTTTGCATATGCATATGCATTAGTATTTATATTCTACTCATCCTTATTTCTCCTAGTAGGCTTTCTTCACCAGTCCCACGTTGCATGTCTAGTATTGTCTTTGAGCTCTCCTTGTTTCGCTCTCCCCTCCCCCCCTCCCCCTTTTCCCCCTTTCCTTTCGTAGTTGCCGAATGCCGCACGCCTCTTATAATCTATACTACATGGTTCTTAGGGCTCTACTTGTATTATTAGCGCTCTGTTCCGTTCTGTGAATCCAGATACCAGCTTCCACGCTTGTCTGCCCACACAACTACGCTCGAATATTACGATCCGCGCATCAACATACGTGCCAGTACGCGGTAACCATCGTCCAAGTCGGATAGTTTCTTCGGCCTCTTGGTCTAGTGGTATGATTCTCGCTTTGGGTTCTTCAGATACAAATTGCGAGAGGCCCCGGGTTCGAATCCCGGAGAGGCCCGTGTATTCAACTTATACTTTCTATATGAACTTTTAATTTTTTCCTGTCTTTCGTAGACGTTCTGTTGTGGCAAGATCCCCCTTAGTTCTACCCCCTTTTAGTTCTGTAGGGCTATCGAGGCTGCTTCTATAATGAGTTACCTAGAGGCAAGAAATGGGAGTAAATAAATTATGGCTGTAGGCCCGGTAAACCTTAGGCTTGCCAGACATCAGGGGCTATTTGTTTGCACTTCCAACTCTTATGTGTCTGGTATTCTCTACACTGTAAGGGAAAAACAAGCCTTCCTGAGAAGTTTGAGATAAATAATAGTGCTTGCTCATAACGCGCATATTACTTGCAGCTAGTTTTCATCAGCAGTTGGCTAAATAGTGCGATCATCTCGAACGATTGAAGAGAATTATTCGTCCCCAGAGCTTACTCCAAAACTCAGACCTAATCATTGAGGAAAGGGGCAACGATGTCTTCACTTCCAGGTTCGGGGAGTAATTTCAAGCCTACTGTATTCTGTAAGTACAAACTTCAACCATCAAGCCGCCATAGCCACTAGAAGTTGAACTATGCTCAGGCAAGCTTTCAGCACTACATCGCAATACTCTTAGTATCACATATCCACTAAGAGCTTGAGCTTCGCTACAATTTGCTTCAGCTATAGCTTGAAAGATGGAGATTTCACATTGGAATTTGGAAGGAATTAACATGGAATGTGAGCAGCTTCTATGTTCAGAACAGGCAGCCGGCTATCCTGTCGTGGGACGAACATTCTTTTTTGCTCAAAGGCCAGTCTTCATGATTCTAGAACCATGCTGTGGAGATCGATAGTCTGCGTAACGGATTGCCAATGAGCTAAGCCATGCTCGATGAGGGCAATCAATTTCCAATTCATCCTAGCGTAGCACCTTCTCTTCGCATATTCTCATGGCACGCTTCGGAAAAGGATCATTTCGCACCACGGTCGACCAGGAATAGAGTTCGGGGAGGCATGGAAACGGGTTCGTCACAAATTTCGTTGGAATCGATTGCAAGGGTACTGCAGGATCGACTGGCTGATGCCGGGTATCAATGAAGATGCGTTTATACCATTACCCTTGCCACGAAACACTACTTGGCTATGTAGGTAGTCTCGCTCCCTATCCTTGACCGTTATGACCCATATGAAACCTTTTATGCATCCTTCTTCGCCTTCTTGCCCTTTGTCTTCTCGGTACCGCGGAGCGTCTTCATGCGGTTCTTGCGTTGTTTTCCTGTTAAGATAGGTAAGGCAATTGTCCAAAGCGCATACGAGGGTGGCCAAGATCAACGTACTCTGTTGTCGAGATGCGCGCTCGGGCTTGGTAGCTAAACCGGCACGGACGAGGCGGTGCTTGGCATCGAACTTCTTGCGGGCCTCTACGGAATCGTAGATGCAGGCGAAAGCGGTGGTCTTGCCACCACCGAAGGCAGTGTGCAGGCCGAATACGCTGACCTGCTCGGGTGTGGCCTTGTAGAGGGTAGCGAGCTTCTGCTGGAGGCTGGCCTTGGAGATACCGGCTTGGTCGGGGTGGATGATGTCGCTAGAGAGGTCTGTATTAGAATCCCGTGCTAGAAGGAGATGTATGCCGTAGTGGAGTGCGCGGCATCGTGATCTGGAGACCGGCACTGCTGTAGATACCGCTGTCTGTCGATATCGATGTCGTCGATGGGCTCGAGGGCAATGTCGAAGGGGAATGTCGAGGGCGAGAAGACTTACGCGACCATCTGCTTCTGTAAAAGTCCAGACATGTTAGCATCTCCGAAAACCAGCAGCAGCAGCAGCAGAGGCAGCATTACGTACGCGAGCAAGCAGGGGATTCCGCTGGAACTTGCGAGTACGGAGTGTGACAGAGTCGGCCATTTTCGCTGGAGTTGACTGATCGCGAGGAGGTTGATGTCGTGGAAAATAGTGCGAATTGGCTGTAGTTTGTAAATTCGTTTTTGATTTTTCGTGACGGCCGAGATGTGTGTTGTAGCGGGGGCGGTGGCACCTGTCCACACCTGGGCAACGAGGCGAGGCGGGTACATGTAAGCAGACAGAATAAGCGCTTAGACCACCTAAGCCCTGACTTGTTCAGGACCCCTGGTGGCCCTTGCTGCCTCCGTCAGCCCCGCAATTAATTACCGTCCCCGCAGCTATAATAGATTCCAATTGAGGATCCTTCTACAGTTGTAACTTGTGGGTAGGTACGGTCCCTTGAGTACTTTATTCAACCTTCAAGAAGTGAAGCCCCCTGCTCTGGGTTCTCAGGATTAAAACCAAGTAGGCATCAGAGGAGATGATTGAACTTTGATACTGGCGAAATTCTCAAAACAAGTAACTGAACCTATTTGCAACGGTGATGATCGACGCGAGCTAAAAACTTTCCCCACGATGCAAGCTGTTCCACTCAACACTGCACGTGTCACGAAGGCTCAAGTGTATCTGGTCAAGTAGTTGCAATTCTTATAATGAGCGTGGTGAAAGCTGATGATGCCGTCAGCAGCCGCGATTATAGTCTGTGTGCTTAGATGAAGCTTGGCAGGCACCCGAGAAGAAAAAAACCGATGACTGATTGTTCACCTCCTAAACATTCGCTCTTCTAGCCACGTAGCGGTAGCAATATCACTGCCTTCGACGCCTACATCATGCACTTGGACCCGCCTGCCAGCTTCATCATCCCCTTCGCCCGCACTGTCGTCCCACTTCATGCGCTCGGTCAGCTCGATCTTATTGATACTCCACTGCATGAGACTTGCCAGCTCCGTGGCTTGGGTCTGGAAGCTATTCCCGTAATTCTTCTTCGTACGTCTCTGGCGTCTCCTTAGGACCGAGGGTCGCAGAGATGGCGTGGTGTCATGCAAAAGAAGCATTTCAGGGATCTTTAACGTTGACTTGGGTGGAGGAAAGTGGAGCAACCGCTTTTGGGGATGCTTGAGCTCAGGCGTGTCCTCTACCGCCTGCTCGGACACCCAAAGCAGATCAGCCAGAGTGCTCGGCGCGGGGATTGCCGAATCGTCAAAGGATGGAGGAATGAGCAAGTTAGGAGAATGAAAAAAGAGGCAGGAGCTAGCGAAAGGATCGAAAAAGTCGTCCGGTTTAGTGAATAGCTCACGGCTCATCTTCTTCAGCGCCTGGAAATCGGAATCCTCGGAATGAGCGAGAATTTCTTCTAACAAGTTTCGCGACACCGCCGGCGGAGGCTTATTGATGGGGTGGTCAGGTAAAAACATGGTCCAGTTGTAGATGCCGTTGTAGGCGACGCAGCCCCGGACGGCCATGCGTTCGTGCGGGCGAGATTCAGTCAGAGCTAACGAGGTTGCTAACGAGGCACCCAGGTACGAGCCATACACATATATGTCACGGCGGGCGTTAGTTGGAGGGGCCAGATTCTCCACGATCCATGTGTAAGCCTTCAGGGTATCGTGAATGGGTGCCGGCCAGCCTGGATGGAAACGTTCATGGTCTTCCTCGGATGAGGGCGCTGTCCATCGATAGTGAATCACGGCTGTTGTGTGTCGCTGAGCCAATCTTGGTAACTGCGTCAGATCGCTCATATAAGCGGCCGTGGGAAAAGGAGGGAGATAGACCAGCAGTGTTTCCGAAGACGAGACCTTGGCCAGATTGTAGACTCTTGTTCAGGATTAGATAAACGTGCGACAAAACAGAGGAGGAGGAATATCCAGATCACGTACTCTATGTGCACACTCCCAGAAGAGCCAACAGCCACACTGAATCGCCCTACATCGTCCAGACCAGACGCGATGCTGCTTAGGGGCCTCGTTCCAAATCTCGAGTGAAGAGGGCGGACCGCAGCCTTCGGGATATTATTCAGGAGCCATCTCATTGTCCCATCAACTCAAGTTCAGCAACTGCCAGCCTGTAGCTTTGTAAAAGCAAGATATTTATCAGCTCTGGTAGATGCCTACACACATCACAGTGCTATACATGTGGTTATGTATTGTGTAGGTACTTGTAGAAGGCCGCTATCTGTCGTGCATGTAGGTACCTTAGATACAAGTACATGTATAATGGTAAGTTGAAAGTTGAAAGGTTCTGTGTTCCCATTGGTTGGCTGGGGTGTTGTGGCGGCGGCCTTTTTCTGTAAGTGCTAGCGTGTGGTCTAACCGTAAGTAGTCTAGTTAGTACAATAACAAATCGGCTATCCAAGCAGCTGGCCTGGTGATACGACGTCACTCTGAAGAACATCTTGGCAGACCCTGTTCCCCATTATCATTAACATCGCTTGCAACTTATCCTTCCGTCTCCGTATACCTCCTGCCCATATGATGGTCATGACGAGTTCTCATGGAAGAGATATTGCCAGTATTTCCTGTCTGCTTTTCGCTTAATATAATCATGGGTCTTGACTATGGTCCTATGAAGCCGTCGCTCATTCAACAAAGAGTTATTGCAATAAAAGACGCCGTGGGTTGGCTGCATCAGCATCCCACATCTCGTATACGGGCTGTATCATCCAGTCCATATATAAACGCTCGCTCTCTCACGTAACACTGAGTTTTTTTTGGTCAATAACGATCAAGACTCGATTGGAGAGCTGCTGCAAATCGTAGTACCGCGATTCCTCAGCCCCACGCTCCGAGCAAGATGGAAGATGGCAATTTCGACGATGCCGTAGCCGAGCACACCGTTGATGGGCCTGCCGAAGTGACAGATGCCGGCCATGTTGATCAGACGTAGGTTAACAATCCATGGAGTACGTGACAAGACAAGACACAACTGACAGCCGAACTAACCCCAGCCGTTGGTGGTTTGCTTCGGCGGCCTTTCCCATGATCGCAGGCTCTCTAGGTCCCATGGCATCGGCCTTCTCCATCTGTGCTCTCGTCAAGCCTTGGCGTCAAAGTATACTCCCGGGGTCGGACGTAACAAGAGCTGTCTTCAAGCGTGATCCGCCGTGGCTTATAGCTATCAACGCCGTCCAGCTTGTCATCGCTATCATCGCCAACCTCTTCCTCTTGCTCAATATGACGAAGAGAGTACGATTTTC